GAGCTGAGAAAAACCAGAGAACCATCAAAGTGGCCGGAGCTCCTGGAGGGGGGGAAAATCTGGCATCTTTGGCTCCCTTCCACGCTTTGTGCCTGACAATGGTCAGGATCGACGACTAATGCGCTTTTATTAACTGCTCCCCTAGATCTGGCTCAGAGAACATGGCCACTTCAGTGAGGACGTTCCCAGTTGCCCTGTGGACACCGACACCAGGTCCCTGGCCAGGAGGAAACACCACTGCAGTGACGGAGGCAAAGTGCGTCTTCAACGAGGAGTTCAAGTTCATCCTGCTGCCCATCTCCTACGGCATTGTCTTTGTGGTGGGGCTGCCCCTCAACTCCTGGGCCCTGTGGATGTTCATCTCCAGGATGAGGCCCTGGAATGCCACCACCACCTACATGTTCAACCTGGCCATCTCAGACACCCTCTACGTCCTCTCCCTCCCCACCCTGGTCTACTATTACGCCGACCGGAACAACTGGCCCTTCGGGAAATGGCTCTGCAAGACCGTGCGCTTCCTCTTCTACGCTAACCTCTACAGCAGCATCCTTTTCCTGACGTGTATCAGTGTCCACCGCTATATGGGCATCTGCCACCCCATCCGCTCCCTGAAGTGGGTGAAGACCAAGCACGCCCGTATCATTTGTGTGGGCGCCTGGCTTGTTGTCACCATCTGCCTCATCCCCAACGTCATCTTTGTCACTATCAGCTCCAAGGGCAACAGCACCCTGTGCCACGACACCACCAAGCCCGAAGAGTTTGACCGTTACGTGCACTACAGCTCCTCCGTCATGGCCCTCCTCTTCGGGGTCCCCTTCCTGGTGATCGTCCTGTGCTACTGCCTGATGGCCAAGAGACTCGGCAAGTCCAGCTTCTCCAGCCCCAGCCCCCGAATGCCCTCCTACAAGAAGCGCTCCATCAAGATGATCATCATCGTGCTCACCGTCTTTGCCATCTGCTTCGTGCCCTTCCACATCACCCGGACCATCTACTACACCTCTCGCTACTTCCAAGCCGATTGCCAGACCCTCAACATCATCAACTTCACCTACAAGATCACGCGGCCCCTGGCCAGCATCAACAGCTGCCTTGACCCCATCTTGTACTTCATGGCTGGGGACAAATATCGGGGGCGGCTGC